TAAAGATTCATGATCTCTGTGTTAAAACTTAAGTTAAAAGATTCATCTAAAAAATATATTTATTAATAGGCCCGCATTGCTATGGGCTTGGCCGCATAGAAACCAGGCTCTTAAGATAAACCCAAGATTTTTATTTACAAGGTTCCAAACGAGGGAGGTGAAACGACCAAAGTTTTCTTGAGATCATAGATTTTTGGAAAGTCATCTATTTGAAATCTGTACAAAGGATCGTGTACAATGATGCCATTGCTTTCTATACAAACTCCCAGAGCCTATCAGATGTGAAATAAAAAAGCCAGGGTGTATCATTTTTTGCTGTAAATACATTTTCTCTCTCTTGACAACTTGTTTCTCTCTCTAACCTGCTCGTTCCTCTCACATGACTTCGAGTGCTGAAGTGCTCACAGGCTGGTTTGGTATCCGTGACTTGCTTGATGATCTCTCTTGCTTCCCCCTCCTTTGAATTCCTCACTTTGTAATTGGAAAGCCTGAAGCCTCCAAATCAATTGCCTTTTTCTTGTTAATATGGTCCTTGAACAGTTCATGTGCGAACCCATAATCTTCTATTTTATAGTAAAAATGGAGAATAAACATGAATGAGAACTCTATCTGGGAACCACCCTTTTTTCCATCTCTCCAATTTTTCCATGTTTACATTAACAATTCAGCAGCAAATTAATTTATTGCATTGGCCTTTTTCCCCATCCCTTGCATCTTTGCATGCACTTAAAAAGAGCATTGAAGGAATCTACAGGACGATGGATTCCAAATTGGTGAAACGTTTCAGTGGCTTGCTTCACCATTTTACCTTGACCATAAGAGGTAATAAAGCCATGTAAGAACTTTTGCGATTTGATATAAGGCTTTTTCTTCTGGTTTTTAGTAAGATTACGATTTGAATAAAACATTGGGCTTTGGCAAGCTGCCTAATTTCTTGGTCCATCAAATACCGATCCCTAACCATGCCTGCTAGCTTAAGAGTTTAGTTAAAGATCTCACTGATTTAATCAGGGTCGCTCAAATGACGAAGTTTTGATTTTGCCGAGTTAAAAGTTAGGGTTTGGGGATAATTAGATTGAGAAACACAAGTGCCGTAATGGTGGGCATACAAAATAGCTCGACGTTTGGGGAAGAAAATTCGCTTTTTCCTATTTTGCACATAGAGAAATTACAGCCCATATGTGTAAAGGAAAAAGTTTATATGAGGATGCTACCTAATAATGTAGAACTATGGACACCCCTAAAAAATCCATCGGATTGAAAAACCTTTTGAATGATCATCTCCACCTTGATATGTATGACTATGAAAAATAAAAAGATTTTAAGTATAAAAAATAGTGCATTTTACAACATATGATCTACGTCGTCCGTTTTCAAGATTTTCATCTGTTTATAGATCTATTTGATTTTAACCATTTTTATATTTAAAATTTTATAATTAGATTTAAAAATAAATTTTGAGATAATCCTAATAACATTTTACATCAAAATTGTATACCATTTGGAGGACACCGTACCTCTATGTCCATGGATGCGTCCGTATGCCTACTGCGCCCATGTCTAAAAGGCACATAGGATCATTACTCTTTCAAAAAACATAAAAAAATGTTACGTCTTTTTCGAAAATTAGCTTATTGCATGCAACCCCTGATGGTCAGTTTTGAAATTAGATGACTTTCCCCATGCCACACAAATGATATCTCGGCTAAAGTGTACGTGACATTTGTATACGGAAATAGTCGGATCCCTGACCTAGACCGGATTGGACTGGAATTCACCGGACCTAGACACGAACCCAGACCTGGACTCAAAAATATAGTATGGGACCCAGACCTGACTCAAAGATAAAATATTTATGTATTTAATTATATTAAAATATATTTTATATATTAGGATATGGAAAAAATTATCAGACCTGGACCCTAATAGCGTTTGGGTCTAAGATTTGGACCCAGACCCAACCCACCAAGCCCAATTTTTTGACCCATACTCGGATCCGGATCAAGTCTACCCGTCGAGTCCCAAGGGGTTTGGGTCCATTGCCACCCCTCACCAGCTGTTGAATCCCCCATTATATTAGTCTTCTCTATGCATATTCCCAAGGTTTGTAATTAGGGAGTAAACTTTGGTGTAAAATATCCATATGTGGCTAATGCATGTGACAAATTTCTTAAGATTTTAGGGGGGGATATTGAAAATTCTGCTTTATTTAATTTTCTGATTATTTGGAAAGATTTGGAAAATCCGAAAGGGAAAGAAGAATAGCATCAAATTTTATTTCACTTAAACTCTTTAATTGACTGTTTTATATACTTCCCCTAATATATAATAGTTATATACTTCCCATTATCTAACTATCAGATCTTAACGAATGGCTGAGATGGATTCAATTACAATGTCATGCTTTTTAATTTTGTTTCTACAAAAATTTTGACACCAAAATGTGGGTGTCCACCTTCTCTTAAACTCGTACCTATAAGAAAATATTCTCGATAAAATAAACTGATTAAAATACTCCAAAAATTTTAGGAGCATTTTTTATATTTTATTTTATTAGAAATATTTTTTTATATTTGTTTTCGGTGCGTTTCATTGATATGATGACACGTACCAAATTCATATTCATATAATTTGTAGAATAAACACTAAAAATAAAATTATTTCAGGCGTCGGATATAGATCAAACGGTCAATGACGTATTTGATCGAAATTGAACGGTTGGATAGGACGAAATGTATAACTTCCATGCAATAGGAGAACTACATAAGCCTTTCCCTTATTCTAAACACGTGACTACTAAAAAACATGAAAAAAGATTTCCATTGTAACCCATTAAAAAAATTCTCACGAAGTTATGTCATATGTCTATCTCTTTCATAAATATCTACTAAAATTGCATATTTGCGTACGACTGGCAGCATTGGTATGAAAAATATCGTCGTTCCAATTATTTCGCTGTATTTAGGGCAATTGACATAAATATTCTTTTTTTTGATGATATTTAAAAATATCTATGATGTTCTAAAATTTACATAAGTGTCCTTTTTTTTACTGTCTACTTTTATCCTAACTTTTTCAATGGTTTTTTTTTTAAAAAAATTTAAAAGCAAATGTTAATTATTACAATATCAAGAGAAAAATGGGCAGGCAAAAAAGGGACATCTATGTAAAATTTCAGTTTTTTTAAGGACATTTTATAAGTATTCCTAAAAAAGGATATTTACATCAATTTCTCTTGTATCTATAAGAACTTTTTCTTTTGTTAATAATGTAATAATCAACATTTATCTTTGAAAATAATAAAACCTTAATTATACCCATTTGGGATTGGGATTGGGATTGTTTATGTAAATATCCACGTGAAAATGTTATCCTAGCCACGGCCGCTGCTTTTTAAAGCCTCAGCTCAATATACAAAAAATTAGAATTTAGGTAATAGGTATGGAAGAACCTCAAATTGATCATCTCTACCCCACCAATTATGGATTTCAAGAAAATAACAAAAATGATTTGAAGTTCTAAATATATTGTATCATGTTATATATTATCACGGCTGCCTATTTTCAAGCTTTCAAAGATTTGCAAGATTTACAATATTTTTGAAGTTTCAAATTTCATGAGCATTCAAAGCCTTCAAACATCTGTAAGATATTTAATATTTTTGGCGCTTCAGATTTAATAGCAGTAGTAGAAATTGATGTCCAGGCTATTATTAAGTTTTTGGACATCGAAACTGCAGTTTTTGACATAGATCATAAAGAACTGCTTGAGTAGTAAGACAAAAAGGAATATAATTCAAAACAAATTCATTCAGAAAAATTTAAGTGTGACAATTAATAGAAAATAAGATACGAGAGAGTAGATTTAGGTGGGCTGGTTATGTGTAGTGCTGACCCAATGTAATACCTGTTCGGACGTGTGAGTTAATTCAAGTTGAATGATTGAAAATGAGAAATGGTAGATCTAAAAGGATGTGGTTGGAAATAGTTCAAAAAAATATGGGGATTTTTGGCCTCACGGAGGATATATTCTTTAATAGAGCGGAATAATGGATTAGAATTCGTGTTACCAACCGTAATTAATTAAAAAAAATTTATGATGGTGCTAAAAAAAAAATTGCTAAGCAAAATGTAAATGAGGCCGAGGGAGAGAAGGTAACTACTTAAATTTATTGTGATGATGATCACAAAGAATTGCTTAACAACGAATTAGTAAGGCCGAGCGAGAGAAGGACCGAGCGAGAGAAGGTAACTAGCTAAATTTATTGTGAAAGAAAGAGAGAGCCAAGGGTATTGAATTTTGAGTAGTTCACGTACAGATAAAAAAAAAAATTGAAAATATGAAATGGGCCAATTTTAGAGAAAATTAGGCAGAAAATCGGTTAGCCCATCTTTTTATATATTTTTCTAAAATGCCATACTCAGTCCAAAGAGGGGTCCGACATCCCCTTTTTTGAATTGCTCTTTGCTTCTAAAAAAAGAAACAAATCTCCAAAACTGATGCCTACTAATGAAAAAATAAAAATAAAAAAGTGGTTTGAAGATGCTATTTTGGAAAGGCCATTTTGAAAAAAAAAAAAAAGCGGGTTCTCAAACCTTCCACTATTTTCGCTTAAAATTGGCTCTTTTCATATTTTCCTTTTCTATTTCTTTTTTGGATTCCGTACATAAATTACTCTTAAAATTTTATTGTCCAAATGAATCAACCAAAATACATGTTGAGAGAGAGAGAGAGAGAGATAGAGAGAAAGCTGTGAGAATAAAATCTTTAATCTGTATACCATATCTGTTCACAAGAGTCAGGTGTGTTGAATTTTATTCTCTAAATGAATCAATCAAATACATTTTGAGAAGTCTGATTCTCAATGTGAGAGAGAGAGAGGTTTATTGAATTTCATTCTCCAACTGATCAACCAAAATATTTGTTCAGAAGGGTGATTGATTGATTGAGAGAGAGAGAGGTAGGTTTATTGAATCTCATTCTCCAACTGAATCAACCAATGTACACATTCAGAAGGGTGATTTTTATTTGAAATGTAGAAAGGGAATAGATACAGTTAGAGCCCACATATCCATGGTGTACATACATATACTAATTCCTAAACAACAGGTCATCACATATAAAAACCAATTCCATTTGTCATCAATTTCTGCATTTTTGTTTCACAGATTCTAATCTTAATCAACTCAAGGGAGGGCCTAGGTTTCTCTCTCCTCTGAGAAAAAACTTTAGAAGAACCCCATTTGAACATATGCATCAAGGTCTAGTCTTTCTCCCTCTTCTCTGAAGAAGCAAAGAGCCACATTGGAGAGGAAATTCTTGGCTAAAATTATCTGATAATTTCTCTCTCCTCTGAAACATCAGAACCAGCTCAATCCATGAAAACGAAGTATAAGTGCAAGTGGGGTTCTCTTAAAATCATCTAAATACAATCAATCTCTGTTACTTTCTCTTTCTAACTTCTTCTAGGCACTCCTGTTAAGCATCTCCTCATACCTCTTAAAGGACTGCTGCTTCTGCATCTCTATCCTCTTATGAAACCTCTTGATGAAGAGATCGGCGACATGATCGATCTCGTCTTCGAGCTTGAAATCTGCCGTGTTCACTGATTGCTTGACCAGATCAATTGCAGATTGGCCTGGGTTTTCAAGCTCGGTGTCCTCCGAGTCGAAGAGAGAGTGGGTCAGGTCTGGATACTCTTCATCTTCCTCTGGTTTGTTGAAGCAGAGCTCCGATGTTGGCTCCAAAGCCATTGAATTGTAGACAACAATGGCTTTGCACTGGTCATCATCTTGGCCGAGGAGATGGTGAATTTTGTGAGAAATGGTGGTGAAAACCTTCTTATTATTTCTCAGTAAACCAAAGACTATGAGCCTGGTTTTAATGGCTTCTGCCTTGTGTTTAACTGAGCTCGATTTGGCCTTCACAAGGGACCCAATAACTGACAACATCTGTTTCAGGAACGTAGAAGCCCGGTTCTTCATGTTTTCTAGAGAGAAAAATTTGGAATAGGAGAGAGAAGAAGGTGATGGAAGAAGAGAGAGAATAGGGAATTTAGAGAGAGAAAAAGACCCCACAAGGCCAAGAAACAAGAAATGGAAAGGGGAGCTTAGAGAGAGAAAAATGGCCACCAAACAAGGAGATGGAAGGTGGGAAATGGGAGGCTTTTGTGAATAAACCACAATTTTGAAGAGAGAGAGGGGTGGGCACAGAACTGGAAACAAGGTGCAGGGTGATAGAGGTCATGCAATAAAGGAGGTTAGAGAGAGAGTTCTTGAAAGGAAGAAATTTAGAGAGAGAGAGAGAGTTCTTGAAAGGAAGAAATTTAGAGAGAGAAAGAAAGCCCACAAAGCAAGAAAACCAGAGGAATGCATCAAATGAGGATCGCGGTGTTGGGTTTATATAGAAGATGGAGAGAAGAGAGAGATTGTAAAAAAAGAAAGAAGAGAGATTGTTAAAAAAAAAAAAAAAAAAGAAAAAGAGAGAGGGGGGTGGGTTCTCTTGTTTGTTTGGAGGTAAAAAACGGAAGTGAGAAGAAGTAGGTCTGAAGAAAGCTAAAAGTGGGACAGGGATAGCTGCCTTCTAAATTCAAGTTTTTTTTTTAAAAAAATGTAAGACAAGTTTCAAAACTGCCCCTATCTCAAATATCTGGTCCACCGTGGTTCCCAGATTTACTGGTGGCAATGGGGCAGGTGGCCTTGCTCGGCAATGTAAAATTAGGGTATGGGCTACAAATTGCGCCCGACCGAGCCACTATGGCCCGAAGGTAGGGCACCGCCGCGATGGTTGGCCCTGTCTAGCTATTTGTGTCCTTTAATTTTTTGTTTTTTTTTTCCGTCAAGTGAATTGGGCTTGGACCGGGCCAAGCTAGGTCCAAGACTTCTTCGACCTGGTTAGGGCTGGGCCTGGTTAGGGCTGGGCCAGGTTCGGACCGGCTCTTTAGATATAAGGGCCGGGCTATGGCCAGGGCCGGAGCAGCTCTCACTCTCCCCGCGCCCTCTACGTGTGTGTCCATGCAAAGCAGATGGAAGTTTTATTTATTTATTTGACCTGCCCTCTTCCTCTCTCTTACATTAATATTATTGAATGGTTATGTCAACTACGCACCATCAAAAAGCATAGTGGTATCGCCTTTTTAAGCTAGTGACATATTTGTCACAATGCTCAAAATGTGAACAAACCATCTATAACAGGGTTTGTGTCTTGTGTGAAGGCGCCAAGAAAGAGAAGAGAGGAGAGAGAACGGAGAGAAGAGAGGAGAGAGAATGGAGAGAGAGAGTGAGGAGAGAGAGAGAGTGAGTAGAGGAGATAGAAGAGAAAGAGGAGAGAGAAGAGGAGAGAGAGTTGGTGGTTTTAAAAGGGGGTGAGAGGGAGGGTGGTCTTAAAAGAGATGAGAGAGAGAGAGAGAGAGAGAGAGAGAGAGAGAGAGAGAGAGAGAGAGAGAGAGATGGTGGTTTTAAAAAGAAAGGGGTTTTAAAAGGGGATTCCATTCTCAAAAGCAAAGTTAAAAATATCTTCATGTGTTTGTGTTTTTCAGCTGTGCAAATTCAGGGGGTGGTAGGATTCTAAAACTTGGTCTCTCTCTCCCTTCCCGAAATGCGAGATGGGCTTCTTTTGAATCATTGACCGTCGGGCCTTAGAAAAGAGGAAGACAACACCACTAAGGTTTTGACTGTTTTATGATACCAAAACTACCCCTTGAGTATGAATTCATCAAAATGAAAGGAAAATTGTTTCATGTGAGCTCCACCTCATTTCTTCAATATGCGCTTTGGAGGTATAAAGCATTGATCCTCTAAAAACAAGTGTAACTAACAGTCCAAATGCTGTTTTAATATAATTATTATTTTTAGTTTTTTTTTTTTCATATTTATGATCTCCATGTTAAAGATTATCGATTACCTAAAAAATAGACTAAATTATATTTATTATTAATCCCGTATTTTTAAAATATGCGGGCTGGCCATATAAAAACCGTGTCCAAATGAAAATTCACACTCTGGAACTTTAGCAAAGCAAAATCACTTGCTGAAAATTTTCTATGTTTCCATCTGGTGTTTTTAAATTGGGGAAGTATTTGGCTTCAACTCATGCTCACATCCTACTTTACAATTATGGCAAATTTAACAAATTTTTTATTATTTAAACATTGTACACATTTGTAACTATTCCAAATTATGATGGGTATTTTGAAATTAAATTACACAATATGGCTAAAACATTAAATTATCGATCTCTCGTAAGTATTTTAATAAATTGCCTTATAATTATTTAGAGCCAGAACCACAAATCATATTTCTTTATATCCAATTTCCTCATTCTGCAAATTTGAAGATCAAGAAACAGTAAAGATAAGATGACGATTGAAGAATTCATATCAAATGTAAAAAATAAAATTGCTTGTTTTAAGCTTATTATTCTTTTTCTTTTTCTCTCAGATTCATGATCACTATAACTAGCAAACCTTGGATTCAAAATCCATCTCCAAAATGAAATATAAACCCTAAAGTTCAAGTCATTTCAAAATCTGTGGGCTTTTATGAGGGCTATTCATCAATATTTAGGACTGTTTTGGTCACATTTGAAGAAAGGGTTGCTTTTTGTAGATTTCGGAGGATTCTAGGAAGGAAAGAAGAGGACTAAATTAAGGGATGGTTTATTTTAAGGGAGGGTTTAAGGACCCCTTTAAAGTTGTCATTGGGATTTGGAGATTTAATTAAGGGAATGTTTGTGGTGCCAAAAGGCTGTAAAGGGTCACCCCACCAAATATGTATAAAGCAAAGGTTCCCTCACATGCCAATTTAGCAAAATAAAAAAAACAAAATAAAGAAAAAGAGGCGAAAAAATTATATGCTCCCTCTTAGACCTGGAGCATATTGAACATTCACTCCTTTGGAAATATATATCTTGGAGTAATTTAGGGCCCAAAATTTTGGGGATGTATCCTCCTCAACCTTGTGATCAACCTTTGAAAAAACAATAAGAATCTATATCTGTGCCTGAAAAATAAACTTCTTTTGGAATAGTGATCTTTTAATTTTTTTGATTCTCAGATGTAAGTATTAGGGAGTAAAAATTCAATTGTTTTTCTTAGAATACTCATCCATTGAATTTGAAGGGGTATCTCAAAATTTTACGTTGAAAATATTGTCATTTACCTAAAAGAGTAAGTGTACAGCATGCTCCCGCGGTAGTACCCTATACGTGCTATAAAAGAGAAACAATCAAATCCCAACTAACACAAAAGTCACGTGGGAATAATGTCACACCAAAGTGTTAACTGTTAAGTAAGGTCCATGTACAAAAGCTCAGGTTTTAAGGTTTTATTAAGGTTAAAAGCAAAGATTAGAAATCTTGGACTCATATGGGCAGATCAAATGTGAAACGAAATATCATCATTATCATCAATGTCAAATCATCATTATCAAAGTCAGATTTTTTTTCCAACTAATTGAAGATGCCTACAGGAATCCCGTACAAGAAGAAATTTGATAGGAGGGAAATGTAATCATGCATTTGATAGGAGGGAAATGTAATCATGCATAGTAGACCTGCACCCTTGAGAAAAATACCTAAATATAAGGATTTTCTCGACATGAAATTTTAGTATCAAGATTAGGAATGTGCTTTCAAAAAACAGAAATGAGAAAATAAGGATTTAAGCTTCTAAACACTAAAATCTGACCATCAAAATATTGGATAGTTTTGTCCAATCCTTGGACGCAATTCTTTTAAGTAGATATAGGTCATATGAAATTTCGTTTTACGAGATTTATGACCTCACTAAGAATATGGTCTTTAATAGAGCAGAATAGTGGATCAGGATTTGTGTAGCAGTCCCAATTAATTGAGAAAAAGCTTTGACGATGATAATAATGAAGTAGGCTGAAAAGGTTACAATTTTTTTTGACAAAGGTTATCAGCTTTATTACTACAAAATTACACTTCCAAATTTTGTGGTCCTAAAAATACTCCTAGATACAGTCATACCAAAAGGAGTGATGGACATTATGCACTCGCAGGAGCATATAATCTTTGGCATAAAAAAATGGAGTTTTCCTTCTTTCTTACTGACTATACTTTGTGGGTGAATAGTGTTGATTGAACCGTATATGGAACAATCATATCATTGAGGGAGATGGGAGCGAAATTATGCATATGGTCTCGCTCATGTTCGATCTTCACCATCTATCTCCAAATAGATAGTTGGTGAGAAATTGAGAGGATATTATATATGGGATTGCATACAATGAGACCATTACCGTTTGTCACCTTTGATACGTAAAAAAATTTGCAAACATCTGTATGGAATGATGGAAATTTTTTTGTACTCTAATACAATCACCATGTAGATTCTCGGCTGCACAATTTCACATCTGATAATAAAGGCGATTGTAATCTTTTTACACCAAAAATAGTTTCGTAAGATATATAATTTTTTTTTAAAAAAATTGTACTCTAATACAATCACCACATAGATTCTTAATTGCACAATTTCACTTCTGATAATTAAGGGCGATTGTAGTCTTTTTATACCAAAAATAGTTTCATAAGATATATAAAATTTTAAAAATTTTAAAAAATATTTTCATTGTATGATCACTTTTTTCTAATGGTTATAGGATTCTAGTTAACACTAAAAAAAGAGGAGGAGAAATAAAAAGGAGGAGGTTCACATAGGATGCCTTTGATAATTTCTATTGACAAGAAATTTCGATTACCAAGACACAAGACCTATAACTTATTCACTGATGCTTTATGACAATTGAGACGAAAAAAATCCTCTTTTTGTGTACTAAACTTGCTGTTGCTTTGTTGATTAAAGCTTGCCTACGTAGTTGAGAGAGAGAGAGAGAGATTGGAGGACTTGTATTGAAAAAAGATGGATTTTTTGTTTATCCTATAGAAATTCAGGAAAAAAGTGCGTGAGAGAGACAGAGTATATTGAAAAGGAAAAAGTTTATATAAGTTTGCAACCTTAAAATGTAGAATTAAAGATGCCTCTAAGAAATCCATCGGAAAAAAGTTATTTTAATGTTGAAAAACTTGATCATCTCGACATCGAGATGTATAAATATATATAAAAAATATATATATATATTTTTTTAGTCCTAGAAATAGCACATCTTGCAACGCATTATCTAGACAATATATTTTCAAGATTCTCATATGTTTATAGATTTACTTGATTTTAACCATTTTTGGAGTTTAAAATTTTATAATTAGATATGAAAATAGATATTGAGATAATGTTAATAATTTTTTACATCAAAATTACATATTATGATAAAATTTGGAGGTGTGCCGTAATTGGATTGTTTAAGGTTGCTTCCTTATCGAAACCGCACCCTA